GAGGAGAGAGGAGAGAGAGAGAGTTTACTCTAGTTAGTGTAGATAAAGAGTTTAGTTTGGATCTAATATAGAGAGTTTGCACAGACAAAAGGTACGTCTGATCAAAGAGTATCTTCCATTTGTTCATAAATGGAGAAAAAGGGGGTTCCCATTTGGAGAGAGAGAGAGAAAGAGGGCTCTAGTTTGTAGGGAAAGCAAGGAAGGGCAAGGCTTATTAATATAGTTAGAGATGTTGGGGGACAGAAGTGAGGTTTAAGTGAGAGGAAATGTTTCTATACTTCCTCAATTGTATAAAAGATATATACTCCCCCTATCCATCATCCAATTTAGATCAAGTGAGCCATTGACATTTTGATCTAGATTTGACGTCTCATAGTACTTTATTTTTGAATTTTTTCTACAAATTATATAAATATAAAATATGGTATGCGCTATCATCTCAATGGGACACACCTAAAAAAATATTTTCTATAAAATACAATGACCAAAATACCCATGAAATTTTCAAAGGCATTTTGGTCAATATATTTTATTGGGAATATTGTTTTGATATTTTTTTATAGGTGTGAGTTTAAGTGAGGAGTGGACGCCCAAAAATTGGTGTCAAAATATTTTGTAGAAAAAAAATTAAAAATAAAATAATAAAGAAGCGTGACATTGTGATTGCGGCATCTTAGCCGTCCATTCAGAATGGATGGTTGGATAGAGGGAAGTAATACGTTTTATACAGTAGGGGGGAAATATAGAAAGCTTTTCCGTGAGTGAGCAGGGTGACAGGAGAAGTTAAGTACCATAAGTATCAAAATTTATTTTTGTAAGATGAAAACAAGAAACTAGAAAGGGTGATAATTAGGTCAGGTCGCCCGCCTACCCAACAGGTCGGTTCTAGGCCCAAATGATGTAGACTCGACCCAGGTCGGGTCTGGCATGGACCCACGTCTGGTTGGGTTACGGTTTGGCTCTGGGTCGACCCTAACCAACCCAACTCGGCATAAAATATACAAAATATATTGAAAATATAGATTAATTAACATATAATTTTTATCATTATTATTTCTTAAATTTCTAGACTCGAGTCAGGTCGAGTGTAGGGGCGGCAATGGGTCGGGGACCCAACCCGAAAATTAAAATATTTATATATTAAATATATTTCATAAATTGGGACCTAAAAGTATAATGTAGAACTAGACCCCATACCTAGACCCGAATGGTGTTTGGGTCCAAGATTTGGACCCGGACCTGACATGATGGGTCCAATTTTGACTCGGATCTAACCCAACTTGTTGCCACCCCTAGAAACTAGTTCAGTACTATCAATATTAAATTATTTTCTGTTAAAAAAGATAGATTTGGCTGGGTACTAGAAGTACCAAACATAGTATTAAGCTATGAAATATTTGGTACTTTCAGCATTGAACATTTGTGCTATTACAACCTTAGTTTGGTACTCTGAGTAATAAACTTAAGGGCGATTTAGAAAAGGGTGCGGTTTGTACAGAGCCAACGCTCTAAACAATCAAAGTAAAGTGCACCTTCAAATAGGGTCGAGAAATGTGGTTTCAATACTAAAAATCTATGTGATAGTCTTAAAATATATTTTCATCTTTAATTATAAATTTAAAGCTTCAAAAATAACGTAGATCAGTACATCTATGAAAACTTGAAAATATTTAAAATTGATGGTTTAAAAATGCATTACAAGATACATTATTTCCAATGCATCTTGAGGTCGAGATGATCAATTTGAGGATATTTGGGCATCAAAACAACCTCTTTTAGTAAAATTTTTGACGTGCACCCAAATTTGATTGTTTAGAGCCTCGCACTTATATAAACTTCTTCCTTTAGTAAAAGATAAAATGGAAAAAAAAAAAAGACATATTGAAAATTGAAAAATTCCGGGGCATTTCTTAAGTATCCTTAAAAATAAAAGACATTTATATTATTTTTCCAATATTTAATCTTATTGTATATAGTTACATGAGTAATGATCCTATAGGACCATCCCCCACACATGTGTAGGACCCCAAAGGATCACTATTAAAGTTGATACGGATATCTAAAAACGTTATTAAATGGGTGTGGGACTTAACTTTTCTATAGATCCATGTCAAATTTAATGGTGATTCTTTGAAGTCCTGCACCCATGAGTGAGAGAAGATTCATTTCTTTAGTTACATGTGTAAGTCTAAAATCCCCTCTCTCCTCTTTAGCTCTCGCCTCTCTTTTTTGTCGAGTTTTTCTTACAAAACTTCCCTGCACTTCCATCTTAAAACCTTCCCCCACACACGCTTTCCAACCACGTGCTAAAAAATCTACCCCTCCTCTCTCTAAAAGGTAAAAACCAATGCTGCGGTTGCTCAATTTATTCCTCTCTCTAAAAGGTCAAAACCGATAGCTCAATTGATTAAGGGTGCGGTTTGCTGAGGCTCTAAACAATCAAATTAGAGTTCACGTTCAAATAATATTGATAAATATTCAATCTTGAAATTAAATTATATTTTCATCTTTAGTTATAAAATTTGAAATTTGAAAAATAGTGTAGATCAAACAAATCTATGAAAATCTTGAAAATTGACCGTCCAAAAATGCATTACAAGATTTACTATTTTCAAAACTTGAAATCTATTTTTTTCTCATGTTCGTGCATCTTGATTTCGAGATGATCAGTTTAATGATATTTGGGCACCAAAACAATCTCTTCTAGTGAAAGTTTTGAGGTAGGCTTTAATTTGATTATTTAGGGCCTAGGCTTTATATAAACTTTTCTATTAATTAAAGGGAAAAATTTATATAAGATTAAAAAAAAATTAAAAATAAAAATACATCAAAAAAACGTATGATAAAATGTTGGATTAATGTTGAATATAAAAAATAAAAAGATTTTGAATCTCATATACATCAGACTGTTCATTCTCAAGATTTTCCTATGTTGATCGAGCTACTTGATTTAAAAAAAAAAAAAGAGGAGAGAGAAGGAAGAAGAAGAAGTTCACTCAAGAAACAACGCTTAAAAGCCACCCACTGCATTTCCGTTTCGGTGCTGGTCTGGTTAGGGCTTCCCGGCGTTTCGACCCGCGCCCCACCTTGCTGCGGCACATCAAACCCTAACCCCCTTGGGCCAACGCGTCGCTATCTCTCTTCTCTCTCGAACCAGGTAACCGTAACTTTGAACCCATTAAAAGAAGGTTCCACCTTCATTTTAGATCTAGGGTTTTATCTCCTTTCTCATTCTTTACCAGCTTCCAGACCCCGTTAATGTTTTTCTAGGGTTTGAATCTCCTTCCTTTAGCTTTATTTATATGACATTTACGACTTTTTTGAGGTAGTGAAAGTTTTTGGTGTTGTTCATTTTTGGGTTAGGGTTTCTACGGTTTGATGCAGTGGGGGCCGGTCCCGCTGCACAGGGATCACATTAGGGTTTCTGATCTGCCATGGCTAGTTCTGGCATTGGTAACAAGTTTGTATCAGTGAATCTTAACAAGTCATATGGCCAACCAGGCTCATCCTCTAATGGAGTCTCTAATAGTGGGAGAATCGGTAGTGGTAGAGCTTCTTCTTCTTCTGGTCATGGAGGAATGGTGGTTTTGTCAAGGCCACGAGCCCAGATTTCTGGGTCGAAGGGTACGAGGCTCTCTGTACCACCCCCCTTGAACCTGCCTTCATTGAGGAGAGAGCATGAAGGGCTTGAGCCATCTGGTGTGGGCTCTAATGGAGCTTCAGGGGTGGGCTCTGGTTCTGGTTTTGGTTCGGGGATTGTAGGTTGGACAAAGCCACAACAACCCATCAATTCTCTTTCAGAGAAAGATAGTGGTGTTGATAACCCAATTGGGAAATCACCCATTGGGTCATCTGAATTGATGTCAAGCTCCGCTAAAGCGCATGGTCATGGGGTTGATGTTACTGGTTCAGAAGGTAATGGTAGAGGGGGTTCCCTTTATATGCCCCCTGGTGCCAGGGCAAGCTCCCCTGCAATGGCTTCCCAGTCATATGCACCAGTTGAGAAAGCAGTTGTTTTGAGGGGCGAAGATTTTCCTTCTCTACAAGCTGTTATCATGAATCCTCCACCTCCTGCTCCAAAGCAGAGAGAAACTCTTCAGAAGCAAAGCAAGAAACAAGAGGAGGATGGGATGAGAGAGCAAAAAGCAAAGCTTCAGGAGATGTCTCAGAGCTCAGCATTTGGTTCTGATACTGAGGTGCCTTTGGCTATGCGCCCACAAATGATGCCTCGAGCTCCTCAGAGTGGGTCAAGTGAGAAGCAGAGGTTGGGAAGCCTGGGTGTTTCAGAGAAATCTCAGAAGCAGGAGGGGCTTTTCTCAGTTCAGCTGCCTAATATTCGAATGACCCATTTGTCTGATTGGGCTGATGATGAGAGAGATACAGGCCATAGGTTCTCAAGAACAGAGGTTCAGAGCATTCGCAGCGTTGATTATGATATCCCGAGAAGTGGTTTGCCTAGAACCAGTAATGGAGCCTACGATCTTCATCAGTCTCGGAAGAATAATGGGTCTTTCCATGGATTGGCACCTGATTGCGAGCTCAGAGATACCATTCGTGATGCTGATTCTGCTAAATTATTGCAGAGAGGGGATTTATATGGAAGAGAATCTATAAGCAGAGAAGGAAGAGACAGTAACACTTGGAGGAGCCCAGTAGTGCAAAGGGATACCCGAGATGGAGGAATTCATAGAATTGGAGTTGGGTCTTCGAGGCCTACTGGCTTGAGCAGGGATACTGGTAATGAAAGCAAATTTGATCGTTCTACTTATACAAGGAATTCCTCAGCATCACCTGCCACAGAAGGTGCTTGGGGTGGTCAGGATTCCAGGTATAGAGAGTCTTATAATAGAGATGGGGTATATGGGTGGGTCAATCAAGTTCGAAGCCATGTATCAGATATTTCTAGCACAAGGGTCAATGATCAAAATGTGAGGGGAAGGAATGGTGATTCTGTTACAAATAGTATGATAGCCAGGTCTTCTTTTTCTTCAGTTAGCAAGGGTTTTGGCATGAGTGACCCCATAATGAATTTTGGCAAGCAAAAGCGTTTGTTTTCAAACAATGGGAAACCATACACTGAGGATGCTTTCGTTAAAGATTTTGGGTCTCCTGATCCTTTCTTGGGCAGTGCTCTTGCTGATATGAAATTGTTCAGGAGGAAGAAGGATGCAACAAAACAAGTAGATTTCCACGACCCAGTTCGAGAATCATTTGAAGCTGAGCTTGAAAGGGTTCAGAAGATGCAAGAGCAGGAGAGACAGAGGGCTATTGAGGAGCAGGCTAGGGCCTTGGACCTTGCTCGAAAAGAAGAGGAGGAGAGAGAACGCGTGGCCAGGGAAGAGGAGGAGAGGCAAAGGAGGATAGAAGAGGAGGCAAGAGAAGCTGCATGGAGAGCAGAGCAAGAGAGGTTGGAGGCAGCTAGTAGGCTTGAAGAGCAGAAGAAAGCCAGAGAAGAGGAGAAAAGGAACATGCTTTTGGAGGAAGATAGGAGGAAAGAAGGAGCAAGACAAAAGCTTTTGGATTTGGAGGCAAGAATTGCAGCGAGAAGGCAAGCAGAAGCTGCAAAAGATGACAAGTTACCTAAAGTGGGTAACGAGATTTTGCCACCAGGAAAAGACAGGGATGCTTCAAGGCTTGCTGATTCAGGGGATTGGGAGGATAGTGAAAGAACAGTGGAGCAGATCGCTAGCTCTGCTTCTTCTGAATCATTGGGGGGTCAGAATGGATCCTATGAAACAGGTTTCAGACATTACATGTCGAGGGATGGGAATTCATTTGCTTCAGATAGAGTAAAACATGTGAACTCGTGGAAAAGGGACCTATTTGAGAATGGGAATGGTTCAGGCCTCCTTCCTCATGATCATGATAATGAATATCACAGTCCAAGTCGAGATGCATTTGCAGGAGGGAGGGGATTTCCTAGACGAGAGTTGCATGGAAGTTTGGGAGCAATGCCAACTAGAGGTTTTGGCAAAATGGGAATGCTAGAATCTCACTTATCAGATGATGTTCCTTACACAAGAGGGCAAAGATGGAATTTCCAAGGGGAGAATGAGCGATACAGTAGGTCTTTAGATGCTGAATTGGAATATGTTGAGAACCCAGGGGACAAATTTGGGGATATTGGGTGGGGGACTGGTCGGTCTCAAGGAGCTCCACATGGGCCTTATGGAGAAAGGTCTCCCCAGAGTTCTGAGATTGATTCTTATTCCTTTGGAAGGTCACGCCACTCTATGAGGCAGCCACGTGTTCTTCCCCCTCCTTCCTTGGCATTGGCGCACAAAGGGTTCTCTAAGAGTGGTTTAGAGAAGCCAGGTTCTTCTTTGGTTGATCAACGTGCACTGCAAAGAGGTGAACAAGCCATGCAGATGGGCTCTCAGAGTGGTATTGGAGATAAGCATGAACAATCTGATATGGTAGCTGGGCCACATGATGCTGTCATCCAGAGGGACCAAGATGATAAGAGTGCTCTTAGATGTGACTCCCAATCCTCTCTCTCTGTTTCAAGTCCTCCCAATTCACCAACTCATCTCTCTCATGATGACTTAGAGGAAGTTGGTGATTCACCTGCTTCTCCTAGCGGCAGTGAGCAGATTGTTTTGCCCAATTCCAAGAATGGGTTTATGGATTCAGAGGAGAACAAAGCTATTATGACATCCTCAGCCTCAGGTCTTGTAACTCCTTTGGAAGATGAAGAGTGGGTGATTGAGAATGAAGATGGTTTGCAGGAGCAGGAAGAGTATGATGAAGAGGAAGATGCATATCAAGAGGAGGACGAAGTACCAGAGGGAGATGAGGAAAACCTTGTTATAGCTGAAGATTTTGATGATCTCCATATGGTGGAAGAGCATAAAATGACTGACAAAGTTGATGGTGCTACTGATTTAGCGTTTGATGAGGGTCTTAAAGTTGAGGTGCCCCATGCTGAGGATTCCGACAGGGGGTCTGGAAGCAGTGACAAAGTGATAGAAGCACAATCAGTGTCTGTTGCTATTGAAGAGGAACTGAAATCTTGTAACGACCAACAAAATGCGGTTGGACCTGGTGCGCAAACGGATAAATATTCTTCTGAGGTGCCAGTGGAGAGTACATCAGAAACAGTACAGATGGTTGAAAAGGGCTTGCAAGATTTGGTTCTTCATCCATCAAACAGCGCCCAAGTCTCGGTATTATCAGGCAATCGTTTTCCAGATGGTGGGGATGCATCTACCTCTGATATCACAATGGTTACCCAACCACCCATTCCCTCTATACTGCATTCTCTATCTCCTACTCCAGTAGCACAGCCTATTATGTCCTCTGTTTCTTCTGTTGCCACAGTTCGCAATCAGTCTGAGGTTCCTGTTAAGCTGCAGTTTGGCCTCTTCTCGACCCCTTCATTGATACCATCTCCAGTTCCTGCCATACAAATTGGTTCAATACAGATGCCCCTCCATCTTGGCCAACCTATCACACAAATTCACCCGTCACAGCCCCCAATGTTCCAATTTGGTCAGTTAAGATATCCGTCCCCGCTTTCTCAAGGAATTTTACCATTGGCCCCTCAAGCTGTGTCATATGTTCATCCCACTGTTCCAGCACATTATTCTTTGAACCAGCAGTCATCAGTATCTCAACATGACCAAGTGGCTCAAGCTTTTTCATTTCAAACAGTTGATGGGAATGAAAATATTTCATCTTCTCAGCCTGCAAATCAGTCGTTCCTTCTTCCAAATCCATCTATGGAGCTGAACGCATTGCAAGTAAATGAGAGACCAATGAGTGAAGCTGCACTACATCAGAGCCAGGCGGAAAACTCTATCTTTAGTTCAAGTAGTGTGATTCATGATGCAAATGTTAAACGGGTATATAGACCAGTGGGTATTAATCGAGAGAGCCTTTATCAGTCACCTGATCAGGGGCCTAATGAAAGAGGAATAATTGGGTCACAGACTGTAGGCACAGTGCCCAGTATGAGAGGAAAAAGAGGCATTCATAGTGCCAAGAATGTAGGTTCAGGCTACTCTATACCACCACTATCTGAATTGGCTCGCTTTGATCCCAGCAAATTTCCTAGAAGGGGTAGGCGTAACATTCGTCGAACTGAATTTAGAGTCCGCGAGAGGCAACCGGAAGATATGGGATCGTCGAACTACAATGGGCATGTTGAGAAGTTGGACTTAAGTTCAAGGGTTGGGGGAGATGGGGCAAAGAGTGTGCGTAATAAATCAAGCAAATCGATAGTGGAATCGGAAAGCTTTATGAACTCGAATTCTCATTTACGTGGTATTATTTCTGAAACAAAGATGGATAGAACTCTCGACAGAGAAGCACCACTGAAAAGGCAGCTTGATAGTTCCCATTCTACAGCAGAAAAGCCTAAGAGGAATGGAAGTTCTGAGGAGGATGTTGATGCTCCTCTACAAAGTGGTGTCGTGCGTGTTTTCAAGCAGTCTGGCATTGAAACTCCTAGTGATGAGGATGACTTCATCGAGGTGAGGTCCAAGAGGCAGATGCTGAATGTTCGCCGCGAACAAAGGGAGAAGGAAAATAAGGCTAAATCTAGAGTCCTAAAGGTAATTGTTTCTACTTTGTTTTCTGTTAGCATTTTGCTTCCCTTTTTCTCTTTTGGTTGGTTTGGTGGGTGGCGGTCTTTTTTTTTTATTTGGGATGAGGGGGGAGGATCGACGTACCGCATTTCCTATTTACTTTGTGATGGAGGTGAAATGGTCTTCATGTTGTTTTCTAAAAGCAGGCAGCTCGGAAACCGCGATCTGTGCTCACAGGTACTGCCCAGAGTGGTGTGGTTTCATCTAATTCCCCTCGGATGGTGCGACCTTTTGGAGGTGATAGTAGATCTTCAGGAGCTACAGGTGGAATTTGTTCGGAGACGGCCATCTCTGAAGGAAGGGAATCTGGTGGTGTAGAAGTGCCTACCACAGTTGCAACCCCCCCGTTATCTCAACCATTGCCTCCGATTGGGACACCACCTGCAGCCTTTGCTGATAGCCAAGCTGCCAATGTGAAGTATGTCCAGTTCCTGTTGTATATCATTATTGAGTTTGTGTACCCAGTAGTTTGTTCCAGGGCTATAGTTCTGATTCCCTTTTTTACAGATCCCTTCCAACAAGTTCTTTCCCTGCGATATCTATTGGAGCGGTAAACATTGCCTCAGGCTTTTCGTTTGAAAACAAAAATGTAGCTATCGATGTTCCAAGCTCTTTGGGATCATGGGGTGGCACGCGAAATCAACAGGTACTGTTGTAGGCCTGAATCTGAGCTTTGCTAATAAGATTTTAAAGATTTGGCATGTATAGAGTGGCGGTCCAAGCAAAGTGGAGATTCATTAAAATGTTGAAAAGAATGTCAGCATGTGATGGTTTCCTATTCTTTGGTTGGTGTGCGGTTTTCAGTAATCCTTTTTGTAATAGTTATCCACAGAGTAACATAATTTGATGTTTTAATGTTAAAATAAAATATAACATATTTAATCTGTTGCTTAAAACTTTTGTTTATGTGGACTCTGTTGGCTGAATGTGTGTTTTGCTCGACACTGAGGCCCTGATATTCTTGGGCTATATAATGCAGTCCACAAAGATGCATTAATATGATTTTATTGGAAACGAATTTGTGTGATCAACGTAACATTGAACATCAATATGATGCGAAGATTGCAATTGAGGAGTTAAAACCATGGATCCTATGTCACCTTATTAGCTTGCTCCCTTCCAATTCAATGTTCTGGTCATAGTTACTGGGATCAACCTAGCAAGGAATCGATTCTGCTCCAGAATCCTGATCCTGCTTTCCAGGAAAGGGGATCTCGTCCTCCGCATCATCATCATCATCAGAGCCTTAACCAACTATTGGGAGTTGGCCACACAAATCTTATTCCAACATTCTGGTCTATCAAGGGCCGTGCCCTCAGTAAGACCAATCTCGTCCTCCATGATTCTTAAATTTTGGAATCTCGATCTTAGGGATCGAGGTCCTAAGTTACATGGGATCCAGATTCCCTAACATGTGGTATAGTGGCAGTGTAGTGTAATATAGTATAGCAATGTGGTGCAGTATAGCAGTCTAATATGGTCTAGCAGTATGGTATAGTGTTACATACTACATTGTATAATATATATTATATATGACTAGCATATAGTATAGTGGAATATAGTATGTAGCATAGTATTGTTGTATAGCAATACGGTATTGTATTAGAATGCATTATATTACAGTAGCCTATACTGTACTAGATAAATGCTGTCGAGATCCTTGGTTTTTAACCAGATGGGGCTCGTTCTTGTGTGATTTATTATTTGATCCTGATTAAGTTTGGATCAAGCTCCCTCACATATTGGGATCAAGATCCCTAGATTTTAGGGTGTACAGACCGCTTTTCCTACCATAGGGAGCTTTCTGCTTATCATGATCCAGTGCTCCAGATCCTGGTCCCCTATCTGATTCAATCCTGATCCCATTAACTATGGTTCTGTTCGTTTTTTTGCCGTAAAGAATTTTGCTTTATTTATGCCTCTTCTATTGATGGATGAGTGGTTAATTAAAGAAAAGTCTCTAAGCAAGGTTCATGTCTTGTCTTCCTTGACATGCCATACTTCTATTTTAGTTGTATCCTTTTTTTGTGTATGCAATAGTTCAGTAACTGTTGCTTTATATTTATTATCTGTCTGGGCATACTTACTTTCTAACATAGTGTCATTTAAACCATTGTACTAAATCACTGTATATATTTTATTAATTCAGTTTATGTGTCCAATTGACAATACCATGACTGTCTTGTTTATTCCAGTTGCTGGACTTAGTGGGCTCCTATTTGACAGTAACACTATTTTATAAAAGAAGCCCTTGACCAGCCAGTGGGACTGGTTTGGACTCGAAACACATGTTTCTAGTTGGCCCTATCCTACGAAGAAATGTGTTGTTTTAAGATAACATTTTAATGTTACCATGGCCATGCTGACAGGCTTTCAGCTGTTTCAAATAGAACTACGAATACCAGTGTTTCAAAAAGAGGACCGCCCAGCGCCTAGCGGCCGCCTAGGCGGATATCCCTGGGCGCCCGCCTGAACCCGCCTAGGCGCCCGTCCAGGGCCTGTGCCCCACCCAGGGGTGGAAATGCGGCTCCTTGAAGGTATTTTTGGGCCTTTTTTTTTTAATACTAAAGGGGTAAAATTGTGGGTTTTAGGTTCATTTGAAACCTAAAACCCATTAGAGGCTATTTTAGAGAGAGAAATCCAAAAAAAAAAATATTCTACTATGCCGCTTAGGTTCTGGGTGCCCGCTTGGGCGCCCACCTACCCCCTGACCGCCTAGGTGCCGCCTAGAGCTTTTTGAAACACTGACCAATACATGACTGCTGTCTGGGCAGTCCTTTTCCTTTTTTTACTTTAGAAAAGAGAAGTGGATGGGATGGGTGTTAAAAGGTCTCTAACCCTCTCTTTCAAAAAAAAGAGGGGTTTGTGCTAGGGTTGAAGAGTGAATTCTAGTTTCAAAACTTGGATTTTCCTTTGTTACATTTATTCCCAGGAAAAAAATGTGGATTTTCTACTAACTCTGGCAATGTAAATTGTTTTAGAGGATATCTGTAGCCTTGGCATCCTCATCTGCAACACATAATTTGCTTCAGTGTGAACCTCTCAAGCTATATACGTCTGGAAAGTACATCTTAGGGCTCCTGGTGTGATGAGTTGTTGGTTTTTTTTTTACTTTTTCTTCTTTTTTTTAATGCTGGTTAACTTTGTTGAAAGAAAAACATTCGATTACATTAGGTAAGGAAGAAGAAAAGAATAGCATCCTACAGATTGGGTGCTCAGACTACAAGGGTTCTTTTCTCTGGAGAAGTTCTTTTGCTTGCACAGGAAGTTTTCTCAGAAAATTTTATTTATTTAATATGAAAACCAGAAATAATTATTTATTTGAACATCTTTTGTTTTTCTTAAATTTTCTTATGTGTATCTTATTAAAATTTACCGGTTTTTCATATTTTAGAATATTTTCATAACATTGATTTTATTTTCAGATCTCTTTTGACTTCGAGGGATCATGCACTTTAGGTAAAAAATTCACCGGATAATCTTTTCATTCTGGCATCTGCGCCAGTCTGCTAAACTACCTTCTTCCTTCTGATAGTGATGAGTCAGGCCCTAATATTTTATTTGCAGGTGTTGAACTTGAACAAACACTGTATCTTCTATGCTTTCATTTATATTTTCAAAGCAGCACAAATTTTTTTGATAAGAGAGTGGGGAGCGGGGGGGGGACAGAACTTTTTTTTCTCCAGAAAAGGGTTTTGCCATTTTCCCACTCATGAAACTTGCATAACGTCCATATTTTTTGGTGAGGCCATTATCAAGGAGGCCTTGACCAAATTAAGGAAAGTAGTGTATCAGAAACTTTATATTCAACTTACTATGGACTTTTTATATGCTATGAATTAGCTGGAAACCATTTGGCTTGGCCACTTAATGAAAGTTTAGGGAACTCAATCAATTTCGAGGAAAAGTTAAAACCTTTCCATTGAACTGTAGAGGTATTCTCTAAATTTTACATGACTCGAACAAGTCTTTCAACTTAGTAGATTAGTATTTCTTTAAATGGCTCCCCCAATTTCAAGTGATTTATTGGCTTTGTCCATGTTATAATTTTGAAAAGGTTTGTTGGGTAATATCTGCACATTTTAAAAAATAATGATTGAAGAGAACCTCACTATCTTAATTATCAGAATAGAAGAGAGCCATTACTACCTTGTTTGGATTTTGTTCGCACTCTTAGGTGGGGTCTTGGTTTGGTAATTTTGGAAATCCACACAATTGAGTATGTTGAGAGACATTTACAGTGTAACCTTATGCAGCAACATGGATGGTTAAGTGTGCTGTAATGTTTGAATCATTAACGCTTGATCTCTGATATAGTTTTTATGTTCTTTGAGTGAGATTCATATGGGAGTCTTATCACCATTCAACATAAAATGATGTGGGGGTCCTATCAACAGCTACGATAAGAAAAAATAAAAAGAAAAAGAAATTGTAGTCTTCAAGATCTGTTTGGTAAAAAATCTGTAGAATTACTCTGTGATTGCCCATTCAGCTGAAGAGTCATAGGAATCTAAGCATGCTTGACATGTGAGAGTTTTCTGCAACAATATAGAGTGTCAACATATATTTAGTTGATCTTGTGGGCAAATTTTTTTATTTTTTATCACAGTTTTCATGATTATTCAAGGGTAGAGTTTGATGTATGGGAAAGCAATTAGAGCTGGAATTTATTGCTGCAATTCCAGAATGAGAAGGAAGATTTGGAGAAGAAAATGTCGAGAAGCCGGTAAACAGGGCTAGTTTAAGGTGATTACTGATGGTTTCCTATGCCCCTACCAGGAGGCTAAGGACGCTGAAGGGTGGTGAGTGAATCACACACATGGCAGCAGGGTTGGTCGGTCCTGAATGGTTTCAGCTAGATAGCATAAAGACTACAATGAAGATGTTTGGGGTAACTTATGGGGTTTATTTGGCTTAGTTGTGATGACGGGAACCGTGGTCATGTCTCTCAAAGGGTTAGCCTAGCCATTAGGGTATCTGGATGACATTGGCTTGTTCAGTTTTTCTGAAAGAAGTCAATCAGTTTCTTTGTCCTAGGATGCTGGAGTCAATATTCTGAACTAGCACATAGTGACTTTGGGTTCTATTTCTTGAACTATTCATGCTAGGAGAAACTTGTAAACCTGGACCATCATGCAGATGTTTTGCCTTTTTCTCTAACATTTGTATCATTCATATTCTTTTTTCTTGGTTTATGGCTTGCTCCTTGTGATATGCTTAAGGCATTTGGCTGTGACCATCAATGTTTTAAAAAACGGTCCACGTGGCGCCTAGGCGGCCTGGACCAAAAATCCGCCCGCCTAGACCCAGGCGGCCCTACACGGGCGGATGTACCTGAGCGGGCGCCTAGGCAGGCTAGGCGGGCTCCCAAGGACGTAAGGCGTTTCTCATTTTTTTAAAACTACGGGGTGCACGCCTAGGAGCCGCCTAGCTTTTTTTGAAACCTTGATGACCATGTGTTTAGTAGGACCAACATTTCCAGAATGATAGTAAAACTTTAGAACTAGAAATTTCCTTAGCAGGCTTTCTTCTTAGCCAAGATTATCGCAATAAATCCATTATCCTAGTACTATAGTGTGCATGGTTATGACACGAAGGAACAGGATGGGCCAATCACAATTATGTTGTCTGTGCTCATGAAAGATTGAAATGCTTGATTTATAATTTTGTCAAAAAAATAGTAATGTACGTTGTTTCTGTTATCGTTGCCAGGTAATGAGCTTGACCCAGACTCAATTGAAGGAGGCTCTGAAGCCTGTACGGTTTGATGTACGTGCTACACTAGCACCTCTTGGTGACCGCAGTGCTTTGGCTTTGGAGCCTAGCAAACCCTCATCTTCAGTCTTGACCCAGGACAAGCCTTTCATTTCTTCTGCAAGCCCTCTTAATTCCCTTCTCGCAGGGGAGAAAATTCAATTTGGTTAGTGAACTGAATATACTTTTCGCCTCCTAAAAGGCAACTATTTTGAACATACTCGTGAAAAAAGGACCTATTATCTATGTGAATTGATCACTGAAAGAGATCTGCCACAGGTGCAGTGACATCTCCAACAGTTCTCCCACCTGGCAGTTGCTCAGTTTCAAAGGGAATCAGTCCTTCGGTATCCTGTAGGTCAAATGTTGCAATGGACCAAGGGCTTTCTGCACCAGAGAATGACTGCACAATGTTCTTTGAGAAAGGGGAGCGTACTGATGAGCCCTGTGTTCAGCTGGAGGATCCTGAGTCTGAAGCTGAGGCAGCTGCTTCAGCAGTTGCGGTCGCTGCCATAAGTAATGATGAAGTAGTAGGGAATGGGCTGGGCTCAGGCTCAGTCACTGTTGCTGATGCCAAAAGCTTTGGTGTCTCAGATGTGCTCCCTTCAGGAGGTGATTAGAGAAAAACCATTCATGTATTTCAGAAAATAATAAAACGAACTGATGTATATATTATCATCAAATGCACTAGGTATATGATAGCCTATTGGGTCATCGCTCTTTATCATTTCACTGGATGTAGATGAACTCAATGGACTATGGTATTCTATAGTTCACCGCATTGCAGTATACTTTCCATGAAGGAAACCATTAAATATTTCTCCAAATCATTGATGTTATATTCTTTGGTTTAACTTTAACCAAAACAAAGAATTCCATTTGTGAGCTCAAAAAAACAAAGAATCGCTTTCCATGAACTTTGAATTGTTGATCCTCCCTTCACAGGCACAGCCAATGGGCATGCACTAGCAACCCAAACCAGGAGTGAAGAATCCCTTACTGTTGCTCTTCCTGCTGACCTCTCTGTGGAGACCCCTCTTTCATTATGGCCACCATTACAGAGCCCACAGAGCTCTTCAAGCGCGATGCTTTCTCATTTTCCTGGTGCACCTCCACCCTCCCATTATCCTTGCTTCAAGATGAATCCAATGATGGGTGGCCCCATTTTTGCCTTTGGGCCCCATGATGAGTCTTCAGGTGCTCAGCAGCAAGCACAAAAGAATGGCTCATCGAGTGCATCGCCCCTTGGTGGTTGGCAACAATGCCATTCAGGAGTGGACTCCTTCTATGGACCTTCAGCTGGATTCGCTGGTCCTTTCATTGGCCCTTCAAGTGCAATTCCAGGTGTTCAGGCCCCTCCTCATATGGTTGTCTATAATCACTTTGCACCAGTTGGGCCGTTTGGCCAGGTGGGGTTGAGTTTTATGGGCACCACCTATATTCCATCTGGTAAGCAGCCTGATTGGAAACATACTCCAGTTTCTTCTCCAACAGTTGGCCTGAATGAGGGGGACATGAACAATATGGTTTTGGGCCAGCGCAATCCTAGCATGCCTGCTGCTATTCAGCATCTTGCTCCTGGATCACCACTTGTTCCAATTGCATCACCGATGGGTTTGTTCGACATTTCCCCATTTCAGGTATGATATTTTGAATTCTGTAACTGTGCATTTCACTGCTATGCATGTGATGTTAATGCATTTTAATCCTTGCTTGTTTCATGTTATTTAGATCAGTGGGGAATACAGGCCCCTACCTGTTTTTAGAAATAGTTAGTGGTTTTCGAATGCCTCAGTAGGAATGGAAAGTCAGACAGGTAACTGACGCTCAGGTGGTGCTATCACCACGACCTCAACCCCATTCCCAACCTTGTTTCATGTAAGAATAATAAATTTACCTTTTGGCCTTCTAGAGTGATCCAAGAAGTCGAAGATACATGCAGCTTTCTTTTAATGCAGCATAGGCTGCTGGGTTTGAACTTTGCACTTTACTATGTAAGGTGATGCTGGTGACCACATTTCTGAAATACCATTATATTAAGGGAGCATTTTTTATGAGAAGCCTTATCATATAAACTGGACCTGTTGATTGGAGTCCTTAAGTGAGATAATGCATGTTCAAGTGTATCCATGGCAGGCTGATATCAATTGACGTATGGCGTAGCCAAGGTTCCGTCAACCTTAATTGAATTTAATCAGGATTGAGTGACGGTAGAGGTTAACCAAGTCATGCTGTCAAATGAGAAGCTTCTCATACGATGAATTCTCTTTTATTGTCGTATATTTTCTGCCTAAATTATTTATAAGTCATGGTAATAACCATGTGGAAGGCTTAAAAGGGTAAGGGGTAAGGCTCAAAAGGACATGGTTAGAAGTAGTAAGAAAAGATATAAGGATTTACCTATCTGAGGGTATGACCCTTGATAAAGCAGAATGGTGGATCAGGATTCATAACCACCCTAAATAGTTGAGAAAAGGCTTTGATAATGATGATGATCATCATGATGATGGTTATTGCCATGTGAGTAAGCTTATGATTTCTCAATTAAAGGATATGGTTTTATTTCATAAGGCGCAATGCCCAACACTCATTGGCACATTGTTGATAGTGCTTCGTCAATGCTCATATTGTATAATCATTATCAACAAAAAAAAAAAACGCTCATATTGTATAGTGTTTTCTTTTTTCTTTTTAATTATTTGGAACAAGGTAACCTATGTTCATATTATATAGTTAAAGTTCGTTCGTGACTTTCCGTAAAAATATGTTTGTTGTATTTCTGCTTGAACCATTTTAACATTGCCAGAGAAATTCACTTTCAGATCTCTCTAATTCTCTGTACATTTGAAGAAAAATGATAATGGGTCTATCTCCTCTTACTCTCGATACTGACCATGAACTAAACAAATTTCAATGCAGTCATCAACCGACCTGCCAATTCAAGCCCGCTGGTCCCATATCCCTGCAGCATCACCCATCCACTCTCTGCCCCCTCTCTCTGTGGGCTCCTCAGTGCCCCCACAGCAACAATTCAACCATCCATCAACCATGGACCACAGCAATAATAGTGCCAGGTTCCATGAGACACGAACCTCCAAGACCCAGGATGCCATGCCCTTCTCAGCCTCAGATACCACTCCCCATTTCCCCGAAGAATTAGGGCTTGGTGACTCAGTCCGTGTGCCCAACACGACTACCCCTACCAACACTGGAAGGCCCAATGCATACAATACAATCGGTGGAAAACCTCAGAACAGCAAGAACTCTCCTAGAGTCAATGCTAATACTAGTGAGGCCAGTGGAACTAGCATGAGCATCACTACAAGCAGCAATAGCTGTAGCAGTGGGAGTAGTCAACAAGCCATTCATGGGAACCATGGTGGTTCAGGCCAGGTTTTCAAGCCTCAAACTTCTCAGCAAGGGCAAGGTTATCTTCACCCTATTGGGTATTCAGAGCAAAGGGGAGGAGGTCCTGGGCAACAGAAGGTGGGTTCCACCAATGAGTGGCAGCAACAGAGGAGGGGAGGTTTTCAGGGGAGGAGCCAAGGGGAGAAGAGTTATGCACCTTCAAAGATGAAGCAGATTTATGTGGCCAAGCCCACAACGGCTGGAAATGCGACAGCCATATGATAGTTGAAGAATGAGAGTGATTATGAAGGTAAGGGTTCTGGCCTATTTGTTGTGGGCTGGCGGTTTTGGGGTTACCTCTTTCTATTTGAGAGGTTGGGGATTCTGTGTGCTTAATGGGCCAATGCGGTGTTCTAAGGAGAAAGGAGTGGAGTGGGGGTCCTAGGTGGATTTCTTGTGGTGTATGAGATTGCTTTGCTGCTTGTTTCTGCTTGGTTTTTGGTGCTGGTCAAAGGGTTATAGCAGTTGGTTGATGTATGGAAAAACTTTGCTTTAGTTCTACTGGGAATTTTGATGACATGTAGCTACAGATGGTGAAGTCTTTGGAACTGAAACTGTATTTCATTTTTGCTAGTTTCTAGAACAGGAGCTTTTTACTGTATTTTTCAAGGCTGCCTGGTACTCTGATAAAGCTGGAATACCATTGTCAAAGAGAGAAATTAAGATAATTGGAACAATGAGGATCAGGAGAATGCTTTCATATGATGTTTGTTTCTGCAAAATTCTTTTGCAGATAGGAAAAATGAATGAGATTCTTTTGGTTTGCACAACTTTCCTACTAAGCAGAGAGGTGGTTTCTGAGTGCAAAATTCTTTTGCAGATGGGAAGCTTTTTTTTGGTTAGCACCAACCTCTTTCATGACAGGCTGGAGGAATGTGTTTTATACCAACTAGCTAGTTACTGTTCTCTTGATTCTTGCCTTGCTCACTGTTATTGTCTCATCAACTTTTTCCAAATCAAACTAGCAATTGTTTACTTGCTGCTTCTCGCTTCTAGCGCATAGAGACAGACTCATCTATCTCCCCAACTGGCTGGAGGAGAGGTTCTTTTAATTGCCATACTAGTTATCATCTTTTGTGCTTAATTCATTCTTGTTGACTGCTTCTATTCGGGCTTATGACCTGAAATCCATTCACTAGCACCATTATCACACACAATTGGGTAGAAATTTGCAGGGATGAACTATTTATCATATCATACTAGGATTCATATTTGAGAGTTGGTTATGCATAGCTCAGGCATTTTGAAAGCCGTCTTATCAGAAAACATGGTTAAGTGTTAACTGTTTTACATTTAGGAAAATTTTCGTTGATATCTTTTTCGCTGTGTTTAAGAAAGATATTTCTTGTATTTTGAAGATATTTCTTGTATTTTGATTATTACCCCTATGTACTTTTTTGTGATTGTTTATCCAAAATGCATCTGGGTCAGCACTTGGACTTCCCACCAGGTATTCTTTTTGGAAAATTTTTTCATGTGGGCTGGACCGCAATTTTACAATATGCTGTCCAGAGGTGCAAAGGGGGTCCATCTAAAAACAAATGTAGGAAGCGGTCCAAATGTTTTTTTTAATATTATTATTATTTCTACTTTTCAATTTTTTTTCCATATTCATATTATATATTCTCTAAAAATTAAGATCAAGTTATATTTAAAAAATATATTTATTGTCAACCTAGTAGTTCTACAATACTATTAATTTTGAATTTAATAATCGGGCAGGATCTTCAACTTCCAACCTAGTTTTTTACAAGTATTTTTTATAAATATACTTTACTTTTCATCTATTTAAAAAAAAAAATTCAATTTTCATAAATCTCGTCTACACCTCTTTTCTTTTTCTTTTTCTTTTTCTTTTTTCTTTTTTTTTTTTTTTCCAATTTTGGCCGTTTTGTGGCTAAAATAAATAACCTCCACATTTGTCGTATTATCGTAAAGCACCATTATGGTATTTTAAGTACTGTAATGAATACCGCATTTTATACAATACTTGAAATACAGTGAGGAAACCTTTTGTTATTATAGTACGCGAATTACTGTAATATTACTTTGGCACTATGATGTTTAAAAGTATTATGGTATTTAAAGTATCGTAATCCTATTGATGTTTTATACAGTAAACAAACAAACATGATTGTTTTTAAACTTTCCAACTCTTTTTCACGATTTTTTCATCATAAAAGCTCTATTTCTCCATCCCACTCTCTTTAATCCCTCCTAAAAACATTATTTTCTCATCTCACTCTTTCTAACCCCATATCTCTCGTCCTTAGCCTCATCTCTTCTATTTCTCTCTAACCCTACATCTCTCTTTTTTACCTCTTTTGTAGAATCTAATGAGATAATAGAAATGAGGGAAAAACCCATATCTCTCTTCCTTAGCCTCATCTCCTCTATTTCTCTCTAACCCTACATCTATCTTTTTTATCTCTTTTGTAGAATCTGATGAGATAATGGAAATGAGGGAGAAAGAGACTAGTGAGAGATTAAGCTTGAGAAAGTTTGAAGCAAAGTTGAAGAATAGCGCCACGCTAAAATGGTAAAAACAAAATCGTAATGAACGAAGGGTTTCGTTAGGGTTTATAAGCCACGATGGTCTTACGATAATTCGAATATCATAATAATCATTGGCTTTATAAAGGTATTTTAAGTAAAACCTAAAATGCGGATTCATTACGGTATTAATAAGACTACTATGAATGATATTTTGGTAAAAAAAACATCCAAAATTGAAGGCAAATGGTGTGGATGAGGTTTATGAAAGTTTTGGTTTTTTTTTTTTAAATAGACGAAAATTAAAGTATATTTGTGATAATTTCTCAAATTTTAAAAATTAAATAGGATTTTTCAATAAATTTGTACTCTCCTAAATTATTAAATTTAAGGAAATGTATAGAATAAAATTCTTTACTTTCGATACAAAGAGGTCACAATCATTATTGGCTATTAAACCTAAAATCAGATGATTAGGGATGTGCTATTGATTGGACACAAAATCCGAAACAAAATTTCTTGAATCTTCTGACACATTGATTTTCATATCTAAAGTCTAAGAGTGATTGTGACCTTCTTATACCAAAAATAAATGATCTTATAGTATAAATGTCAAATGAATGTCCAGGAGTCCACAAATACTTAAACTCCGAAAACGAACGATCTAAATAATGAATAATGTACTACAAGATGCATTATTTTGAAGACTTAAATTTTTTTTTTTCTTTTTTAAATGTTAACAGTAAGGACTTGAAAGCCTTTATTTCTCGTATCTATTCACCTCAACATTGAGATTATCAATTCTTGGGCTCTTTATGTCAGAAAAACCTTTACAGACAGATGTTTTAGGAGCACCTTACTTCCACAGCATAAACTTTTTCCTTCAAGTCTCTCTCAAAGGCTATTTTTTTTTGTTTTTTTTGTCAAAAATCGGCTCTTTGTTTATATGAAGAACAAAAATGCCGCCCTCTCTCTCTCTCTCATTAGTATTTGTCACATTTGATTGGGATGGTTTGCATCCCACCCAAATCATGGGTCGACTCGGGTGGCATTTCGGATGATGTTTGTTGACCGTGGGTAATTTTGATGCTACCCCTTTTTGCGTCCTCACGTGTGCATTCACCTCATTTAAAATGGG